TGAGCAAACACGCAGGCGGGAGAACGAGAGCAGGAGGTTGTGCCAAATCCCAGGAGTAAAAAGAGTGACTTGCGAGCCAAGGCGGAGAGGGCTGTGCCCCGGGTGCTATTACGGGACAGGCCTTTGCAGCAGCCCATCCCTTTGGCCCACTCTCTTGGCCCCTGGCCCTTGCCTCAACTTGCTAAGCAGCATCACTTAGAAGCACCTCATGCATGCTGTTCCCTGCTGGTCTACAAAGAAACCCTAAACGCACAAAATGCCTGGGCTACTACACACCACCCCCACGCTCTCTCCCTGGCTGCTGCAGACTGCAAGGACCCGCAGAGGCTGCAGCCACCTCATCGCACCCTCCCGTTCTCCATCCCGTCCCCCCCAATAGGGGCTCCTTTGATCCTTCAAGCTCCAGGGTAGTGCTTTTTGCAACACACATCCTAGCTGAGGAGTATCTGCTCCAGCTGCAGACTTCTGGTTTCCAAGCTGTTTCACCTAGTCTGAGAACTTTTTGTTCTGTGTGTGCAGGAAGGAAGATTAAGATAAGGGGCCAGTCTCTTGAAAGAACTGGAAAGAACTATCTGTACAACGTTTAGCCAGAAGGAAAAGGCCAGCTTGGAAATCGTGAGCAGTGACAATGTACCTGCAAAAACAGATCTGTGTGCCAAGGAAGGAAAGACCCTTCTGTCTGCCCAAAGAACATGCCTGTCTGTCACAGAGCTGTCCACACGCCCAGCACACAGCCCTGCTAGCAGAAACGAAGGCCACCTTTAGCAGACACCCCGAGGACAAGAAGATGAGCGCCTTGTGGTCCCAGGAGCTCAGGGAGGATGTGGAAACCCTTAACGGGTTACAGAAACGTGGCTTCTGACAAACGTAGAGGGTCTTTGGTCAAGAGAGGCTAGATTTCAAACTCTGATCCGGAGATACACTTGAAAGGACAGCTAAAGAGAGAGTCTTCCTGGCTCAGACATGCCCGACTCCGCTTCTGCCAGCAGCACAGAGGACAAGCGAGGCTGTGTCCGTGCTGCTGTGCGATGGGAGCCATGCGCTTCCTACGATGGAAGGCCTCGGTGTGAGGCCGTGCTAGCCAAGGAGCAATCACAGCTAAGTCTCCCACATGTCTAATGTCACCCATTCATGGAAATTTTCAGGAACTCACAGGAAAGCAGGTCTGGAATGGGTTATAGAATGATCATAAAATTTTAAACACACACCTGGGGATACTTCCAAACTTCATGACACATAGAATTAAGTTTATATTTTGAAATAGAAAAAATCTGAAAGCTAAGTTTTTGTGTGTGTGTTTGTTTTTAAATTTTTTTTTCTGCAACCTTTTTGAAGACCTTCCTGTAAGCAGGATTTCCATTTTTTTAGGGGGGGGGGGAGAAGGGATATCAAAATAAACTTATTTATTTTTTTTAATGAGCAAGAACGTGCTTGGCCACTCCCTAATATTTAGTCCACAGTTGCTGAGTAGCTGGACTGGGCCAGGGTAAAGCCGGGGAGGCGATCCAGGCCTCCCCCCACACACAGGCCATCCCTGCCGCCTCCCAGGGTCCACACTGGCTGGAAGTTTGAGGCTCGAAGCTCAGTACTGGGCCGAGGAGCCCCAATATGGATGCAGGTGTCCTACACCTGCCACAATCAACCAGCTTTTAATCTCATTTTCTACAAATTTTGCCCAGTACCCTTACTTTTGTAATTGATGGGCAAGGCTTCCCTCTGTGCCTGGGCAGGTGCTAGCACTGCTCATGCCAGCGCTAAGAGCTGCTGGCTTTTACAGAGAGGGCATGGAAGGCTCCTGAACCAGGCCCCAGTCACCTGGAAAGGCAGAAAGGGCCTTCCAATTTCCAACATACAAACTGCCACAAACTGAACCACCTGCTACTCATGTGAGGCAGAACACCCAGAACAGGACTTGTTGTCACCCCCAATCTCCTGCCTGCTTTTTATTTTGTTTTACTGAGACTGAAACGTGAGACCGTTACAGTGGTGGAGAGGAATAAGATTACAGCACAACTGCAGCTGTTTCCTCAGCAAAGACACGCCAGTCAGTAATGAAAAAAAAAATCTTACTGAAGACACTGCTGTTTGGGTATGTAATAATGAATTTCTGATTTTCTTTGAAAAGGAATGATCTCAAAAAGCATTTGAGAATTGGTGATTTTAACAAATGCTCTTAGGAACCCACGTGGTACGTGTCCAGGCCTTCCAAGTAAGGGAGTGAATGCTGAAGCTCCTTGGGAGCCCAGGGCATGGCCTGCCTGCTCCCTCAACATGAATGCTGCCTCTTCCTCCTTGGCAGAGCTACCTCTGCCCTTCTCAGCCTGCCCCTCACTGCCCTCTGCCCTAGCACCTGCATGCCTGCAGCCACCTCTCCCAGACACAGGTGGGGGAAGATGGCCCCGAGCTGAAGTGGATCTGGGCCCTGCGTGTGAAGTGTGCCAGAACGCCTGTGGCCCCTTCATTTACACAGCCACCTGCAAGGCAGCTGGCTGCGACGACTCTCCCACAGAGAGGGGGTGTGATGGGCTGAGGGCTCACCAGCTCCACCTGCTGAGCCACCACAGGGCCTGGTGCGTGCAGTTGATGTCCTTTTCTTTTAAATGCAACCACCACCATGCTGCTTGTCTTTAAGTCTTGCTGGGCACATGGGTCACTGGCAATGCCCGGCCTCAGGGAGCAGAGGCCTGGCACTGTTGGGTCACTGGGCCATATCTGTGCGTGCAACTAAGTACTCAAGCAAAGCTGGGGCTCATTCTCTCTCTCTCTCTCTCTCACACACACACACACACAAACACACGTCACAAGTGTCTCTTTTTTTTTAAAAAGCATCAGGCAGATCACAAGAAACATGAATCAGATCTTCTTGGAGCCTATTTTAGAACTATTTCTGGCCACCTATTGTGTCCATTTTATTTTCTCCAGCACAGGTCATACCTGTGTGGACACTGGCCATCAGCAGTCACCTTTCAGACACTTCGAGGGCTCTGGAGACAGTTATGGACAGGAGGAAAAACATCCAACAGCTCTGAGAGGCCTGGAAGCCGGAGAGTAATTTGTTGCTGAACAGCATGGTCACCAGATGTGGGGAAATACTTTCCAATAGTGCAATTAGACACACCCAGCATTCTCACTGTCCACTTGGATTTATGTCAGAGAACTGCCACCCTTCCCCCTGCCCCCTCCACCCCCAACAACCCCAAGCCGAGCCTCTCCTTTTTTGGAGTGAGTAACATCTTTGCTCCTAACCAAAATGAGGATGAAAACAACACTGCGCTTTTCATTTGCTAGAAACAATGATGGAGTTGATATCACAAACGAAATGACCTTAAGTTAGCGCGTACTTCTACTTACATAATATTGAGCTTCATAAAGTTACGGGTTACCCCTGGAAGATCTTTGCCATAAGGAGCACAACATACACAACTTAGAAGACACACAACTTAGAAGAGTTGCGTAACCGAAGCAACGCGAGACAGGGTGGAAGGCATGAGGAAGTACCCAGCGTTTCCTGATTGATCTCTACAGTCTCTCTGGCAGTTTGCTCTTCCAAGTACTCCACTATCTGCTCAACTGATGAAAAGTTTCTTCATTCCCATCAGCACCGCCTTGTGGAATGTCCTGTTCTCCAGTGTGAGGCATCCTGGGACTGAAGCAGTGGTGAACTGGAGGCCATTTCCTTATAGCTTTGCAATTAACGGCTGTATTAATGACATAAGTTAATGCGATAACTGACAGCCAGTATGTCAACTGTGACATCATTTGCATACTTATAGAAGCCGGAAGAAGAAAAAAAAATCTTCCTTTTGGGATGAAGAATTTGCGAAGGCCAAAGGCAAGCGTGGGTGCTCACTGGGAGTTCAAGTGTCAACACTGTGGAATTCCCCTGGAGGCCTGGACCAGGGCTACAGCACTCGTCCCTCCCAGCCCTGACTTCTAATCTCAGATCTGTGACACCCAGGGGTGCCTCTGCCTATCTCCTAAGGTGCTGTAAAATTCTGTCCACCGAATGCCAAGTAAAACAATTTAGCAGTCACGTCCACAAAATATGCCACTCATGATTGCTATTTGGAATAAAAAAGGATAGTCTTAAGTTTTCCAAAAGCTTGATCTTTGTCAGTTATGTTTTGGTCTGAACCAAGTCAGGAGCAGAAGTAGTAACTAAATAGACAGGATGAGAGGGTCTATGTGAGTGATCCTGTGGGTCGTGAAGATGCGGAAGGAAGGACCCATCCTATCTAAGTTGGTCTTAACTTTTACTTACTAAGGACTGAATTAGCACTGACTGGCAACTGGGGACCCAGCTGACAGCTGCTCTCCTGGACTTGACCTCCAAGATTCTCTGCAAGGTAGCTGCATGGACCACAGACACTGCAAACAGACAGGGTAAGCTTAACTCGGCCAGCTATTCTCCTGGGCTCACATAGCACACTTCTGTACTACATCCAATTCTCAACGTCCTTGGTCACCAAGAGGTTGGTAAGGAAAACAACCATTGTGAGCTTGCCACTGGGAAGCTGGCTTCTAGCCAGGTCATTTTACGACAGCTTCCAAATCTCCCATAAAATACGTTTCCTGATGGGTCCTGCCTCAGGCCTCACAGCGTTCTTCACTCAGAACACCCACTTCAGTGGACTCATAATCTAAGCATGGATTTCTTCAAGAGCCACGCAGGCACGCATGTCAGAGGAAAGACCTCACTGCCAAGAGCGCATCTCTCCCCACACTGGAAAGGCCAGCCTTCCTTCCCTGGAGAGCTCAACTCCACTTCAAGCCACTGCTCATTTAGATTAGATTCACATTTTACATTCCAGAGAAATTCCTTGCTACGTAATTTTGACTCAGTCTTTCTTTGCTGTTAATTGCTTTTCAAGAAGAAAAATGTAAAATCTGCTCGTTTCTTTTTAAGGAGGCCTTTTATGCCCCATTTCAGAGGTGGAACAATCGACCACCTGAGAGTGACGAGCAGGGAGAGGGTCAGAAGAGAAAGAAAGTGTACTTGCCTTGTTGGTAGCAGTGGCACTGGATCCAGGGACCACGGGCACATTTGTCACTTGGACAGAAAGGTAATTATTGTCTATGAGGGGCCAGGCCCCTTCCACCTTGCACGTCTGGAAGTGATCCTTGAACGTTCTAAGGTGCGGGTCTCCGAACAAGCCACAGAAAAGGTAGCTGGGGGGACTCTGCTCTCCTCCCCTGTGTTCTCGGGGCCCTGTGTGGCTGTGATAGCTGCAGGGGTCGTGGGTCACTTCAGGGTTGGTGGAGGACGTGGGTCCATCCTTGGAGCAGTTCCTCTGGCTCATGAGGTCACTGATGCCCAACACGGCCGAGTGGTACACCAGGTTGCCGCGGCAGGCTTTCGAAGTCCGCTGCGTGCAGGCAGCATAGGCACGCAGGGCCTTGCAAAACTCAGAGTCAAAGCCGTCAGCGGCAGAGTTCAGGTGCGAAGTCAGGGAGACAAAGTCCGTGGTGCATTTCTGGATCCGACATGGGGCTGGCTGTTGGCAGTCACCTGTGGGAAAGGAGAGCAGGGGGACATGTGAACTCTGCAGAACTTCCTGAGCGACACGAGAAAGCGACATTCTCCTCTGGGAACTGCATGTTCCAGTCCGTGGAGCTCCTATTTTAAGAATCCTTCAGAGAAAGAGGGCTGCATCCCGCTCCCAGGGCTCTCTCAAACTAAGCCACTGGGAGGAAAAAGGGCACGTGGCTAATTAGAACCTGAACATGTGCGAGAGTGTGAGCTAACAGAAACTGAGTCCAGCCTAAGGACAAAGGACTAGAAAACATTTTTAATCAAGTTGGCTAACCTGTTTGTAAATTCTTTAAGAACAGTTCTGCTTTGACACCAAATCAAAGACATGAACTTGGTTCTGATTTTGAGGAATGCATGAGCAACGTGCTTGAGAAAGCACTGCTGAAAGCATTCCACGCACCAAACCCTGCAAGGGTGTCGTCCCAAACTACAGCATGACTTCAAGTCGCCAGCTGCCCTGATCCTAGCACAGCCACAGGGTGAGAACAGTGACAGAAAATCCAGGTACCGAGTTCTTCCACTTCTCCTGAGATGTGGCTACTGATAAATCGTATATATACACAGACACAACTTCCTGATTTCTTACCAGGGAAATCTTTGTTCAAAAAATTAAAGTGATCCAAGAATCCACAGCCTCTCCATAAGCATGTTTCTGCTACCTTACGACTCCAACTTCCGGAAGAGACCTCGGGTTCAAGGAGCCTAGATCAGAAAGGCAGTGAGCAGAGCACCCCGCGGCCCTGCTGCACAGACAGGCGATTCCACACGCATGTGCAGGAGCACAGGGAAGTGCAGAGTCCTCTAGAGGACCTGTGAACCCCAGTTGCTCTTTAATTCATGCAAACATAATGAAGTAAGTAAAAACCCAAGTGCTACTGCCTTATGTTTAAGAACAATCTGTTTCCAAGAGATTGACATATATATATATATATATATATATATATATATAAAATTTTGCCACTTGTTTCTCAAGCAACTTATGAAACCTCTGAGAGCGCGCGCGCACACACACACCCCCCAGAACTTGGCAGCACCAGGTCAGTCATGTGATGGTCTGTCCCCAAAAGCGGGAATGGACTTAGTGAGGAGAAGAGCAGTTTTCTTGAGTGAATCTGTAACTGTAAAGAAATGAACCATCATGTGTGTGTGTATGTTTGTGTGTGTGTGAGAGAGACTCCTAACGGGCCTCCGTGTGACTGTGTGTGTGTGAGTGTGTGCGTGTGAGAGAGACTCCTAACGGGCCTCCGTGTGACTGTGTGTGAGTGTGAGAGAGACTCCTAACGGGCCTCCTTGTGACTGTGAGTGAGTGTGAGATTCCTTCCGGGCCTCCCAGCGAGCAGTGTGGAATGTGTTACCAGTTGCATTCATACCTCACCTGCAAGTGAGGCTGCTGTGCTATGAGCTTTGTGATTCTCTTCCAGGTAACACACATCTTACAGTTTGCATTCTGGACGAGGAAAATAGGGAGGAATTGGAGGGTCAGGATTACTGGTGAATATGTAACGTTTTGAAAATGTGGGAACAGTAAACTTTAGGCTAACAGTAAGATCAAGACTTGATCACCTGATCAAGACTTATCAGTTACGAATCCTTGATATCATGCTGCAAACTTGGTAGCAAACCGCTCTTAAAGCAGAAATAAATAAACAGCTTGCAGGATGTGCACCTGGCTTTGGTGGGCGATGACAACCTCTGATGATAACTGTGTCATCACCTGTAAATTCCAGGGAGGAAGAACATCTTGTAAATCTAGACTTTAGGCCGAATAAAGGCTTAAATAATATTTTATATCTGGAGCTATGGCTTTAGAGCAATCACTGGGCCATCTTGTCTTGTTTAGGACAAAGCAGACAGAAGCAGCTCCAACAGGTAGAGTCCTCCCTCAGAACAAACCAGTGAGTCTGGCTACTTTTACTCAAAAGCAAAACATAACACAAACCAACCAACCGACCAAAACCCCCTACCAAGCCCTGAAGCCATCCTACAGGTGGGAAAAAGCAAGGCAAAGGACTCTGAAAGACCTTGTCCTTCCTGCGTCTTACACACACACACACACACACACACACACACACACACACACAGTGTGTTTGCAGTGTGGAACCCTGGCTTCTAGGACTGGCCCTACCTTCCTGCAAATGCCTGACTCCAACAGTACGTGGCATTTGAAGAAGAAGAAAAAAGACTGAATTAACTATCATAATCATCATTATTTTCTTTAAGTCACAGCAAACAGAGAACCAGGAAATAAAAGTCAGGGTTAAGATCACAGAGTAACGAAGAGCTGAGACCACAAACAGGACGGCGCGAGAAGTTTCCGCTAAACCTGCAGTGCCTATTTGTTCTTTTTTTTATGGTCTATAAAATCTACCCGGGCATACATTTACTTGTAATTATTTCAAATAGTCATAAAATATCAAAAGTCAGAACAGCGTGGAAATGCAGACCTGAGTGTTCAGAGGGGAAGACAAGCAATACTGAGGCCCTCCAACCCCTCTGCCTCTCTCTGCCTTTGGCATAGCAGGGAAATGCTGGTGACTTTGAAAACAAATCTCACACAAAACCCAACTCCTGGGTTCTTTTGTTCTCGGCGAGGTTTCACACGCTGGGAGGGAGGAGGAGGAGGGCCAAGTGGACAGAGTGCAGTTTGGGTCAGCATTTTCAGCCCGTGGCAGGCTCCTGTGGAGTGACTAATTTGTAGCATACACCCAGAAAGATGCAGGCTTCACGAATTTATAATGGCAAAGCACACACACTGGCCCTTCTAGGTGGTAAAATCAGCCTCTGGTTGGGATGCCAACACAATGCAGCCAAGTGTATGAGTAAGCAACTCCCAGCCTGCATCTCCACGGAAGAACTGCAGAGGTCTGCTTCTCAGAAAAAAAACCGAAAGTGCGTGTGTGTGTGCGCGTGCGTGTGTGTGCATGCGTGGGGGAGAGCGAGTCAATAACAGCCACCCCCAAAGGCAGAATTCAGATTACTCTAGTGTGTGTGTGTGATCACCCACACCCTGTGGGATGGCTCTGTCAGTTACTGGAAGTGGTGGAGGATTTGTGCATCTAGAGCTTTCATTTCTTCATCATTTTTTAATGAATCAGACGTCAAGGCCTCACCATCCGAGACAGCTTTCCCTAACGCTGGCGGATCTGCAGCACAGTCCTGAGTTTATAAGAAAAGAAACGAGATCTGCTCCAGCTGAATGAAGTGAAATGCAGAGCCATATGGGGCGCTGCGGCCAATGACATGGATCCAGACACGAAGCATATGGGGGCCCATCTGCAGCCGGCCCTGGCTGGGCCCCCTGCATTTCAATAGCAACCACTCTTCAAAGAGATCTCTTCAAGGAGCCCCTCTCTGCTGGGAACACACCAATTGCTCCCTTGTCTCCAACAGGTGGTCCACAGAAATCTGCCAGTGCCACCAGTGGGGGGTCGGGGTCAGGGCTGCCGGAGGAAGGGCACATCAGCATATTCTCCAACTAAGGCACTACCCAACCTTCCCAGCAGCATCTTGGGCCTTTCCTAAGACCTTCCCAAGGATCATATTCCCACCTCCTTGCAGGACCCCAAGGCCAGTCAAGTACCAAGAACAACACCCAGCCTAAGAGAGAGAGAGCGAGCGAGAGAGAGAGAGAGAGAGAGAGAGAGAGAGAGAGAGAGAGTGTGTGTGTGTGTTCGCGCGCATGGTGCACAGATCCACCAAGCACCTCAACAACCACTTCACAACCAGTACAGTTAGTTGGACTCCAGAGGACATGAGACTGTTCTAAATGTTATATTTTGACATGCCCAGAAAACTTTTCCTTGCAAAAAGCCTGCAAGGCTGATGTTACTGTAAGGCCCTAAGGGTTGCTCACTTGAAGGCTAAACCATTCTAAAACCTCCTATTCCCCCGGGGAATATGACTCCCCCCCACCAAGTGACATTGCTAAAATGCAGCTATTACATCACAACGCAAAGTTACGAAAAGTAAATGAAGTCGTCTCCCTTAAATGCCACATTTTTTCCATTACTGGAAAGACCTCCCTGGTTTGCTGCGCGGCTGGCAGGACTTAATACATAAATAAAAATTACTCCCACAGGGTCGGGCGGCTTTTAAAAATTCACGGTTCTCCAACCCAGAGCGTTGTGACTGCTGTCATATTAAGGCAGGCTGGGGGGGAAAACGCCTTGAAGGGAAAGACGCTTCTATTGCTCTTGCTGTTCTTCTCAAAGCGTCCTTCTTCATTTGGTTTCGGCATATTATATGTGTATATAAAAATCATCTTAAAAATTCATTTGGTCCAAACTCCTAAAAAAAGGCATGCGTATATTAAAAAAAAAAAGGGGGGGGGGTGATCTGGATATCCAGGAAACGGTTTAAAACTTAGGTAGCCAACACAGGTCGGGAGCAAGGCCCCAAGCGGCTGCAGGCGAGCTTGTGAGGAACACGTCTCCCACGCCCGGCCATGCCGGCTGAGAAGCAGCCATTCCACGTCCCAAATTTTAAGCTCCTCCGGGATCCAGCTGCCGGTTTGCAAGCTCGGGTGCAATCTTCTCTCCCTCCTCGGGTGCGATTTCTCTGCCTCGCCCCGACCTCCCTCCCCCACACCCTAGAAACAGCACAAGGCTCTCCCAGTCTCCCTTCCCGGGCAGCGGCGGAAACCTGATCCCCAGCCTGACTTTTCAGTAAACACCGACGCGGGGAGAGCAATGAAAGCCTTGGAAACCCGGGGGTCCCAGGCGACCAGCAGCAGCAGCAGCAGCAGCAGCAGCAGCAGCAGCAGCGCAGGCCCCAGCTCCGCTCCCGACACTCCGCGGGCACGTTCCTGCCCCAGGTGCGCGCCCCGGAGGCGGCCACGCCACGCCACGCCGCCCCTCCCGACCCAGGCGGGGAACAAAGCCCGTAGCCCGGGCCCGGCCTCGCTCGCGTCCTTACCTGCGTGGAGCAGCCCGAGGCTGAGCAGCAGCAGCAGCAGCAGCAGCGCCGGGGGCGGCGGCGGCGGGCAGGGCCGGGGTTGGCGGCGCTGCTCGGCGGCGGGGGCGCAGGAACGTGCTGCTCTCAAGCCCATGCCCGTCCATGCAGATCTCGGGGGCGCCGTGGCGGGTCCGGGCCCGTGGCTGCGGCATGGGCTGGAGGGAGCTTCTCGCTTCCTCTTCTTCCTCCTTCAGGCCAGCGACCGAGAAGGGCCGCCGCCACCACCGCCGCAGCGAACGGCGCGCCGCGGGCGGAGCGAGTCGGCGGCGGCGGCAACGGGGCGTAGCGGCATCGCGGAGGACGGAGGCGGGCGAGGGAGGGAAGAAGGGACCGAGGAGAAGACAGAAAGAGACCGTGAGCGAACGGGCCCCCCGGCCCCCGGCCCGCGCGGGCTCAGCGGGCGTTGGACCGCGGAGGAACGGGGTACCCGGCGCCTGGCGGACAGCCGGCGGGCGGCCGGAGGGACCTCTGCTCGGCGGCCGCGGCGGTCAATCAATCTCAGCTTCGCACTGACGCCCCGCCCCGTCCCGCAGCTCGCCAATCCAAGCAGCCCCCGCCCGGACCACGCCCCCTTCCTCGCCTTCCCATTGGCTGCAGGCGAGAGTCTCTCTGCGCCCCGCCAGCCACTCGCAGGGGCCCGCCCCGTCTTCCTCCCGCCTCCCGGCGGCTCGGGGCGATTCGAGTTCCGCGTCCGCCACCCGCGCGTCCCTCCGGCCGCGCCGCCCTCCCGCTCCCTTCCCCCTCCCTCCCGCGAGGCTCTCTCGCGCCCAATCGAAACGGGCGGCCGCGACTCACGCTCTCGCCGGCGTTTCAAAAAGGCCTCCCGCCTCTAACCTCTCCCAGAAGGACGGGGATGGGGCTCAGCTTCCCACTCCTGTGTGTGTGTAATCCTCCCCCAGCTCCCGTCCTGCATCCCTCCGCCTCAAGCTCTTACTTTGCCCGACCGAGGGACGGGCGAGGCCGGTGCCTCTTCCCAGCCGTCCCGAGGCAGCTCCGGCCTCAGCCACTCGCGCTCCCCGGGCGGAAGCCTGAGGCGGACGCTGGGCCTCTGAGGCGCGGGCGGGCTGAGGAGGAGGGCGCGTGGGAGTGGGCGACCCTCCACGCGTGGGGTTCCGGCGTCGTTAGATCGGAGGCCTGAGCTTTCTCCCTGCCGCCCGTCTGGGGTTGCCCGGCGATTTTTTATGCCCGTTTCCAGTCTCTGCAGGGTGTGTGTGTGTGTGTGTGTTGGGGGAGCAGTTTCTATCACATGATGAGATGAAGTGTGTGGGGGGCGGGGAGAGGAACCCACAGCCCAAAGGTGGGCCGGAAAAAAAGGGTGCCTGGCGAGAGCAGCCGGGAGGCCGCTGACAACCCCACTTCGTCAGCCGTGGGTGTGAATCGGGGTCTCTCACCCTCTTCATCAGCCTTAGGCCACCCTGCCCCAGGTCGCTCGAGCCACTTAGCCACGTCCAGATTGCACTTGGCAGCTCTGCCAGCCACCCCGCTGCGACTCTGGCCTTAGAAAGTTCGTATCCCCCGCCAGCAGGTTACTCTTCCACGTGCAGGTGTGTCCTCCCGCGGGGCGGGATCCCGGGGAGAAAGGGGCCAGTCCGGCCTCTCGCCGGCTTACTCATTAGACACCCTGTGAATTGCTCAAATCACTAGGTCCCTAATGAAGTATGCCGATCTTTTTTTTTTTTTTTTACTGTTAACTTTTCATTACTTGTTACACACCAGGATGACTCAAGTGGTAAACACACCTTCCACTGCCGCGATGCAATGCAAGCCTGGTGTGCACAGCCTTAATAATATGCTTAATAACAGCTTCGGAGTGGCCTGGAGAAATGAATTTTGAGAGGGATGGGGGAGGTCTCTGAACTTTTTAGATAATGCTGTAGACTAAATACGATTAGAGATTAAAAAAAAATGTGCTCTCTGGCAATGAAAGTTCATGAAATACAGGTAAAGGTCTTTTTCAAAAGACCATCAAACGATGATGCGATGTTTTCCAAAGCGTTTTGCTAACAAAGACTAACAAAAGGGTTTTTTTTTGCCTCCCTCAATTAGGCCAAGTCTGAATTCGGCCCTGATGATTCGTATGCCTCTGAATAGAGGACCAAGAGGGTCCAGCAGTTCTGGCCGCACCGGGTCTTCCCGGCGCGAACCGCATCCCTCTCCTTCGTCCAGCACGCACGGTGCTGCGGCTATCAACAGAGGGCGACCTCGAGTCACCTGCCAAGCCCTGCGTCGGGCCCGGGAACTTGCTCCGAGGGCGAGCCCTCCGAGGCGCTTTATTGCTCCTCCGCTGTAAAATTTGACAAGCTCAAGATTTATAAGCCTAACAATCCACTTTTTATTGCCGCCTTAAGTGTTCAGCCGCTAGAAGAAAATGCTAATTTTCACAATTAAACCGCAAGGTGGTTCCCGTTTTTCTGTTTTCTTCTCTCTCCTCCCCAACTCCCACCCTCTCCTCCCCCACCCGCCAGATCTTTAGGTCTGTGCACACCTCGGCCAGTCAGTTACAAAAGGAGACCCTGGGGTGGGGATGGGAAGGCTACACCGAGGACGAAAGCAACGACTTGAAAAAAGTTTTACATTTTAATCAGGAAAAAAATCACGAGGCGGGGTGGGGGGGTGGGGAGTCCCCTCTTTGTTTTCAGGCCGGAAAGATGAGGCTGGAACGGGACATTCTGGTGACCCAGTGACCCCACGGGCTAAGGAGGATGGACGATGTGGAACCCATGCCAAAGACCTTCCTGGATTCTAACATGAGATGCGGCTGCATTTCCCGAGCGCAGGCGGGACGTCGTGACCGCTCCCCTAGTTAAGACATCTCCATTTCCAGAAAGCTAACGTGAAGGTCTTTGTGTGCTTAACCTGCTAGTCTAGGCCCGAGGAGGAGCCAGGACTGGAGCTTGGGGCTGCCATCTGTGGCACCCACTCGCGAAGAAGCGTCTCCCTTTACCCTCACCCCGAGTGTCCGCCCGGCCGCTCTGTGCGCAAAGCAAGGGGTTGCAGCTCGTACTTACATCATGCTTAACCCCTCCACTCCTGCAGGGGGGTCGGCGGGATCAGGGGGGGCCTGAGCTCCGGAAGGCGCAGGACCTGGAGGTGAGAGAGGAGCCTCGCTAGAGCTCGAACGGAGCGCCGGACCCCGGGACAGGGAGAGGTCCGGCAAGGTGGAGGAGCGGGTGGTCCGCGCGCGCCCGCGCGTCCCCCGGGGTCCCCCCTGCGATCCCCGCGGGCTGCGCCGCGGCTCGCGCCGCTCACGGCGGCAGGTGCAAAAAGCATTTGGGAGCCGCTTGCCAGCGCGCGGAGGTAATGGCGCTTCCTGTCCATTTATCTCAGGAAACCGGCGCAAGCCTCCCCTTCGAAACAAAATTAACCTCTCATTAGCCAAGCCACTCACTCCCAAGAAGGCCTTAAAAGCTTTACCAGCTCGCTAATGTATTTAAGCCAACCCCCCTTCCTTCCAGGCAAAGAAAAGGCAGCCTAGTCGCGGCCACAACAGCCAGCAGCCCCGAGGGGGCTCCCCTCCGGAGCTCTCCCTGGGACAGTCACCACGTCTACCGCTCTCAGCTGCAACTTTGGAGCGGGGGTACTCGTGCCAATCCAGGACCCCACTTTGGAGCACTGTGTGGCAGGCTCCGGGCCCCTGAGCCAGAAGCTTCCAAGAACAAGTTCCTACTAACATCAAGGGCGCCCTTCTAATACCCTCCATCCATCCCCTACTTCACCCAGCTCGTTTGCTCCCAAGAAACAGGAATGGGCACCAGGGTGTATATGTGTGTTGGGGGGTGTCGCTGGCCAGCGGTCCCCAGGGCCGCGGGTGTTTGCCTGCCCGGTCCGCGACTCCGAGGCGTGGAGCGGCAAACATAGTGTCAGATCCGCGAGGGTGAAAGGGGGCTACCCCCCTACACCCCCCGTCCCTCTCCAGGTTACCCACCCCCCGTCCCCCTCGCGCCGCCCCGAGGCTGGCAGATTTATACCACACAGGTGGATGGAGGACCTAAAGCAAACAAGCGCCCGGCCGCTGCCTGCCGCTCGCCACCACCCCCTACCACCTCAACGGCCCCCCTGGCCCACCGCAAACTCCAACAAAATAAACAACTCACCACAGGCATTCCCTTGTCTGCAGCGCGACGCCTGCCAGCTGGGAAAATAAGCCGCAAGCCACGCGGCCCCCGGGCGCGGAGGGAAGGCAGCGCCGCGCCCGCCCCCTCGTCCCCCCTCCAAGGTGGGGGTCCGGGGTCCGGGGTCCGGGGGGCGGCGGTGGCAGCCGGGGAGGCTCCGCCTCGGGAGCCGCGCCTCGGAGAGCGAGCTGCCGGCGAGGGGGCTGCGCCCGCGGTGTGGCCGCGGCGAGCGATCCGCCACCAGGGGAGAGGGCGGGGAGCCAAACGCCTCACTCCCCCGCCCGCCTGCCCGCAGCTGCCCGCGCCCGCTGCCCCGCCAGCTCCGCCCGCGCCGCTGCCGCCGCTACCCTCGACGGCTCCCCGCCCGCCCCGTGTACCCGCCGAGGGGTGGCCCTGCTGGGCGAGCCGGCCCCTGGTGGCCGTGGCGAGGGACGCGGCCGGCGCGTGCGTGCGACTCCCACCCGCGTGCCGCCCCTGTCCCCCACTGGCCCAAGTGCTGGCAGCACCCTCCCTCCCTCCCTCCCCAAGGGTCTTCCTCGAAGAGTTTTAATAAGGAGGGAGGGCAGGCGGACTCCTGAGCTAATGGTGGCTCAGGTGGGCTGGGTCCCCACCGCCCACGTGGGAGACGTGGTGCAGCTTCCTGGCTGTGGGCTTTTGAGGGGGAGGTGAACCGGGGTGGGGTGGGAGCGCTTGTCTGTCCCCTGCCTTGCAGTCTCTGGAATTATAATAATAATGAAAAATAAATGAACAAGAAAGCTCGGGATGAACACGTGGGAGTCACGAGGGGAAGGGGGAGATGGAACAGACTCCTGCACCAGCCCAGTGAAATGTTCGAGGGATGACAATGGCACGGTGGACGTCGTGGGAGGCGGGAAACAAAAGCGATTGCTGCTCCGTCCTGAGACCGAGCTGCCAGAGCTTCAAGGCGGGACCAGCGAGCAAAGGCTTTTAAAAGCCCCAGCACCCCGACATTTGTCGCCCGCAGATGCGCCTCTGGGACCTTCTCCAGCTTTGCTCCGTCGGTTTCTCACCCCGACCCTCCTTGCACTTTCTCGGTCCAACGCTAGGGGCAGCAT